TTATAAATAACTTCTATAAAAGAACTCTCAGAGAACTTATTAATTACTTATAGAATATTATTCTCTGTATCTATGACAGAGAAACTCTCTAAACTTATGAATAAATTAATCTTAGTAAACAACATTCTTGAACATTTTCTACAGAATTAAGCTATTTGTCTATAAGAAATGCTTACTATCTGTAAAGACTTTTAAACTGAGTTTCTAGATATAATCTTCAGAGATATCTACAAACTGAAAAGAAACTTTCTTAAGCTGTAATTACTTAAGATTATCTACTGAATTACAATCTATAAAAGCTTTTATAAGTTTATCTTTGAAATTGACTTATAAGCTCAGCTATGTAATATGAAAGATGAAAAAGCTGTTATCTATATAATAACAGGCCTCTACTACACTGAAGTCAAGAATTAACTGAATTATTTAAAGAATAATTATGAGATATCTCACTAATCTGTTCTCAAGATTTATTTAGAGAATAAATTAAGAGACTCTGTGAGATGAACAGAGAATATCTGAGCTATAATCATTAATATTAGAAAAAGAGATGAGAAATGTAATGAAAATTACTTATAGCACTTTATAAAACTGTGATATGAATTGAGATCTGTGAAAACAGAGCTCTGAAACAAGACCTGAATAATAATATTTTTAAATAGACTGAATAAAGATATATAGAATAAGTTTATTAAGTAAGATACTAAGCTCTTAACTCTGAAGAAACTAATATCTCTTATTCACTGCTTATAGATTACTGTGAGAGTCACAGACTTATAAAGAGTGAATTATCAATTAGCTCTATAAGAGTCAGAATAACAGAGAACAGAGATATTAAGAAAAGATAATAAGATATAGAGAGATTCATATCTGACTACTAAGTGAAAAGAAAGAGCTTTATAAGCTCATATAAACAGAGTATATAATACAGAGATTAAGAAAAAGAGTCTCTACTTTATCTATTTTAAATCAGAATATATCTGTGCAAACTGTTCTAATAAATTAAAATAGAAATTTAAGAAGTTACAGACAGAGTCAGTAACTGTCTTCTTAAGTGTCTTAAAGCTGATATCTGAATCTGTTACTCTCTTAACAAACATGCATGCTTGTGAGAAGAGACTGTAATGCAGTACTGCTGCTTCATAAGTATAAGAAGTAATAACAAACTCAGAATCTCAGATCACTGTAGTGTCTCTGAAACTTATGCAGTGAATAAACTGAGTAATAAAAACTGAGAATCTACTCTTATAATAAGCAGGGTATGAGAACTCAGATCTGAGAGCTGAGAAACTCACAACAGTTATCTTTGAATTATAAGAACTCTCTGCAACTGAAAGAAAATTTGCAGAAACTGTGATTATTACAGACATCACAGATGATATATACTTAAGACTTATATAACTTTAAGAATATAATCTGTACATAGCTGTCTCTAAGTCAGATTTATACTTCTAATCAGTATTAACAGACTTACTTACAGAGATAGAATCAGTTAATACTGCAGAGTTAATTAGAGAAGATAAGTCTATCTATATAATAACTTTATAAATGTCTGAGAACTTTGTGATTATGAAAACTGAGCTTCAAATATCAGAGAAATACTGAGATCTTGCAGAGATATTCAGTTCAGTTAAAACAGCTAAGCTTTTATCTCATCATAAGAAGAATCTGATAATAAATTTAATAGAAGAGTAGAAACTCTTCTAAGAATCAATCTATAAGCTCTCTCATCATGAGACAGAAGCTCTGCAGACTTATATAGAGAAGAATCTAAAGAATGACTTCATTTAACAGAGATAGAATTAGTTAATACTGCAGAGTTAATTAGAGAAGATAAGTTCATCTATGTGATAACTTTCTGAATGTCTGAGAACTTTGTAATCATGAAAACTGAGCTTCAGATATTAGAGAAATACTGAGACCTTGCAGAGATATTCAGTTCAGTTAAAGCAGCTGAGCTTTCATCTCATCATGAGAAGAATCTAATAATAGATTTCATAGAAGAGTAGAAACACTTCTGAGAATCAATCTATAAGCTCTCTCATTATGAGACAGAAGCTCTGCAGACTTATGTAGAGAAGAATATAAAGAATGACTTCATTTCATCTTCACAGACATCTGTGAGAGTCTTTGTGATGTTTATGAAGAAGAAGAATGAAGATCTCATATTATATATGAACTACTGTGATCTCAACTTCAAGACTACAAAGAGTTACTATTCTCTGTCTCTGATTGAGAATGTGATCAACTGTCTCACACAAGCGATTATATTCACACAACTAAATATAATTAATATATATACACAGCTGTGAATACAGTCTGAAGATGAATGAAAGACTGTCCTCAGAATTATGCTGATTATTATTATTATTATTATTATTCTTCTTCGATTAAAGATGTATGTAGTTAGAGACTATGACATCTACCTGAGAACTTTTAGTTCTTAGAGTGTTTCTAATATCTATAGAGTTCACTATTATACATTTATCAATTTCAGATATGCAAAATCAGAAAATTCCAGCCTAGAATATAAAAACTCTTTACAAATTACAGTATTTTAACAGCTTCTGATACTTTGAAATCATTTGGAAATATCATGACAAAAGAAAAGAGAACAAAGTCTTAAAGATAGACATCTTAAATAAGTAGATAGAAAAGAACAGAAAAGAACATCTAATGTAAAGAGAGACTATAATAAAATAAAATTATTAAAAGATAGTGTATAGCTGTTTTAACAGACTATATCTGATCAATTTTCACCTCTTCATATTCAGATCTTTCTGAATTCAGTCATCATCTAGTAGCTGCTTGAGTTTCTGATAGAAAGTCTATTAAGTATTTAATTCCTGTCTCAATTGAGAATAAGAACCTTATATTTAATTAATTTAAATCATACTTCTCTTTTAATCTGACTCTGAGACTATTGTATACTGCACAGTGTATTATAATATACTCAAGATTTTCATTTACATTGCAGAATAAGCATTCTATTGAATGAAATCTATTATCAAATCTTTGTATATAAGATTTGAAATAATCATGTTCTAGTTTCAGCTGAATTATAGATGAGAATACTTTCTTTGTATATTTGATTAAACAAGATTTCTACTTGAGTTTGATTTCAAATCTTGAATAATGTATACTCTTCTTTTATTTCTGTCAGCTTTCATTTCATTTGTTTAAATAAGATTCTTTTCTCTTTTTCTTTATAAAAGACCAGGACACTGTTTTTTCAATAGATCTGCTTAATTCTGAACTCTTTTTACAGCTAAATCAGTCAAATCATTGTCATGAATACTCATATAAGCAGGAACTCATTGCAGATGAATTATCAAATTTAATGTTCTTCTCTTTTGAATTTTCAAAGCAGAATTTAAAATCAGTTTAAGATTCATTTGATTATTATGAATCTGACTATTTCTAAGTCTTTTTTAAAGCAGTTTGACTATTAGAGAATATTAATGCCTCTTTCAAACTATTTTCTATTTTATAAGATTTTATTTCAATTAGTTTCAAAGCTTTCACTATTATAAATAGTTCAGTATCAAAGACTTCAGATTCACTGTCTAAATTTCAGAAATCTAAGATAAAATTGATATTATCTTCAGTATAAGCAATATCTGCATCTAATCTGTTTAAATTCTTATTTTTTAAGTCATCTGAGTAAATCAGAATAGAGTCTTTTATATTAATTATAGACATCTTCTTTAATTACTGTTCATATTCTCTCTCTTTAGATAGTTTACTTATTTATAAGTCTATAAGAGATTCAAGCTTTTCTCTTCAGAGAAATTTCTTCTCATGATTAACTTTCTCAATATTGAATAAAGAAAATTGATTTTTAATCAGTGAATATAGTCTATATAGTTAAGAGAGCATTTTCTTTAAAGAATTGTTATCATTTCAATCAAGAAGTCTATTTTAATTCAGTTTATTTCCTGAGTTAATTGATGAAAATGAAGAAGAGACTCTTTCTCTGATTATATAATTTAAGCTTATCTTTATAACTCTCAGAGTATAGTTTATACAGATCTTTTCAAATCTAATAGTAGAACAAGGAATTGAAACTTCAATTTTCATTGCTTTAATAGAAGATAATTTGAATACTTTCAGAATTCTTCTCAAAGCTCTGTTTTACAGACTTTAAAAGAGTTCAGTGAAATTTTCTTGATTATTCTATTAAACTTAAACTTCATAATCAGTTACTGAGATGATACAGACTATGTATAACTGTCTCATAATCTGAAAGAATAGATCTCTCTCTGTATTTTATGATTCAAAGGTTGCTTGAGCCAGCGTACGATTACAGGCGTACGCCGGCTTCTTATATATGTTATCTAAATTAATTAGTGGCCGCTAGAGCCCCTTTACATTTGTAAGCATGTTTGAAAGTGGCTGTGTTATTATTCAGCAGTTGTACATTCTTCTGAATCACATTCTCTCTTATCAGATTCAGTCACACTCATGTGACTGTGATATAAGTCCTAGCCTCATGCGAATTAGTGCGCTGCTAGTGTTCATGATTATACAGCTTATATCTGATTCAGCTAGTATCTCTTATACACTCTCACAAAGAAACTTTCACTATATTACATCACTCATTTACTAACTTTTTTCATTCTTCAACTCTCTTCTTCATCATCATCATTATTAACTACTATTATCTCATTTCAGATTTCTGTTTCTCTCTCTATTCAACACTTTATATTCATTCATCTATTATATTATATGTGTTTCTAGCAATGACTCTTCATTTTCATACTATGTATTATTATATTACTCATATCAGACAGTTCATTAGCAGTAAGTGTAACATATTATGAAATATGATCAGAACTTGTTTTTCTTTCAATGATTATTAGAATATATTATTATGAATGATATATCATCTTCACTTTTGTATACACTCTTAACTGTTTTTCTTCTCAGCAGCTTCTGATCATGTTTTCTGACACGATTTTACATAGTTGCAGATTCTGATATGTTTGTTTTTATTTATATAGAATCTTCATGTGTTGACAGATTCACATCTGCTGATAATGATGAACTCAATGTTGAATTGTTAATCAAGAACTTGAAGATTATAATAATGAAGAAATTGTCTATACTATGTATAACTAGGTCTTCTGCATCTCTCTCTGCCTTTTCTGCTACTGCTTCTTTCTCTGCTGTCTCTCTCTAATTCTTTACACTTGTCTCTGTTTTCAGTTCTTCTGCTCTCACTATTTCTGTTTCTGCAACTCTCACTTCTGCTACTTCTGCTTCTGCTACTTCTGCCCTCTCTGCCTATGCTGTCTCTGCTTTCATTTTCAGCTCTCTTCATTTCAAGAAGATATTGCATAGACTTGATGAATTACATTTCTTAGTATGTATACTTCTGCTCTTCTTATCAATCTCTAGAATGATTTATTGCATGAAGACTGTCTATGACACCACTATTTAAAGCTCAGTCACAGATACTGATTATTATATTCATTTATACTGAAGAATCATCTCTCTCTTCAACAGTGTTAAGATTGTAAGTCTTTTCTTTTTTTCAGCTTTTCTTTCTGACACTGATTTTTCTGTTCTTAGAAGAAATCATTATGAGTTTTATTATATACAAATGTGGTTCGGAAGAACGTACGACCGCCGGATAATAATGCGGCTGCTTCTGAACTTGCTTACGAATGTAAAGAGGTCATAGCAGCCATCAATTAATTTAGTGCACAGTATATAAGATGCCGGTGTATGTCTGTAATTATACACTGACTCAAGCAACCTTTGAATCACATCTGATAGCATGTCTAAAAACTGGTGAGAAGTGCAGGCTTCTCCAGAATGTGATAATTCTGTCTACAAAGTGATTCATAGTTATTATATCAGTGTGGTTCTAGAACATCTTAAAAGATAGTGTATAAAGAGCAGTGAGTGAAAGAGTATCTGTTTGATACTGCTTCACTTGTTAAGGAAAAACTCCACACTCAGATGAATGCCATGTATGCGAAAAGATGAGGTGTGAGAAAGGAGATGAGAGTGATGAACCAGATTCAAAGAAGTCTGCTCCCTACTAAAAAGAAGGATAAAAAGAGAGAGATGATCATCACTAAAGTTATATAATGATAACAGAAATCATATAATAATATAGTGATATAACAATATAGTAATATAACAATATAGCCATATAACAATAGATATTATATAATCAATGAGAAATCACTGAAATGAATATCTTCTCTAGTTAATATAAATAACACTCTTCTCTGCTATCTGAACCAGAAGGTATACAGAATCTCTCAGAGAATTTACTCAAAGTAGTAAGAAAAGCAGCTGAAACTGCTGAACTGAAATTGAAGCTCTGTACATGTATGAGAATTCTAAACAAGATTAAGACCTTGTGTACACAGTAGCAGGCTGAGACAGAAGTCAAATAACAATTGACATTTGCAGTAAATTAAGCATTCACTATGAAGAGCTTCACTGACACAATTATCATCATTATTAAGAATAGAGAAAACCAGGTCTTAGATCTGCAGCAGAAGATCAAATATTTACACAGATAGATGACTACACTGAATCTGAAGATCTCATCATAATTGTTCATAACCTCTTCAGAAGTGTATACATCATCAGAGATCACTGCACAGAATGAGAATCTGAGTATGAAATATATCAAGTCAGAAGATCTGCTTGAGTTATCAAGCTTCAATAGTGACTGAAAAAATGATGCTGTAATCAGCTGACTAAGTCAGATGTAATCATATTATTGAATCGAATGTGAACTCACAGACAGGCAGTCAATGAAATTTTAACAAGTTTTAAGATCTGTCACATTTCTATATAGAAAAGTGAAGTCATTATGAATGACTGATGAAAAGATAAATCTTACAGATCTGAAGTGATATTCATTCTCATGAATATGAAATGAGTTTTTCAAATGAATCTTGTATAACTTTGAGAAAGTGAATATGTGAGATAAGTGTTACAAACACTTCACTGAGTGTAGATAAGTAAGTGATCTTACATCATACTTCACACACTTCAGCTTATACTATCTTATATTGAATGAAGAGCTTCTAACATCTTTCTGTTTACAGATCTTCATTTATGATCTTATATCTGAGTTAAGAGTAGAATAGAAATGCTTAATCTTACAATCAGACATAGTGAAAGAAGTGTACAACATTCTCATTGTATAGAAATAAGTGAGTTAATTATGATAGAAAATACTGTAATCAAGTATGTCTCAGTGAAGAATAGATAATCAGACTTCTATAATACAAGTTATACATCTGAATGCAATAAATCTAGATCTGAATGCTATCACTAAAGTACTGAATTTTCTGAAAAAGAGATTCTCTGAGTGAAAATCTTGATATTATGAGTATTAAGCTTATTTCAACTGTGAATGCTAAAATCATGATACAAAAGATTTCACACAGTATACACAGTTAAGAGAAGTAAGAGAGTTAAAAAACTAGCAGAATCAGTGAGCTTGAAGACACTTGCTAATATTGTATGAAAAGTCTTCAAAGTGAAAGAGATGCTCATGTTAAATAACTCTCTGAATTCTGCAAACATTAAGAGAAAGCAGACTTCTGAATGAAGTGCAGGTGAGAATAATGAAGCAGATGCTTATCTCAATATCTTAGAGCTTAAAATGTTAATGTATAAGAGACACTTGAGTAAGAATTGAGAGATGACTGTAAAAGTGTTCACAGACACAGAAGCTTCTATATAATATATTAATAATTATATGATTTAAAGACTGAAAGAAGTCTGCTGAGTGAAGAATATCTGATGTATAAGATTATCTGATAACTGATATTTAATATCATCTGTAAGAGTAAGAGTTCTCTTGTACTTCAGAGAATAATCTTGCTATATTTGAGTGCAAGAGCTGCAGAATGTGAAATACAATCTTATACTCAGACTCAATTGATTTCAAAGATTCAATTCACAGATTCAATGATGTACATGTTATATATAATTAACTGATAAGAAGAAAACAGTTCATACAATTCTATCAACTAATATGAGAAGAATATTTCATATCTCTGATATAGAAGAATTAAATCTGCTTACATATTAATAAGTAAAGAGAACAATTCACAAGATCTTATCTGAAAGCATTCTGTATGTTATACAGGACCTGAAAGTAGAGAAAATCAAGATAAAGAATATATAGAAGGATAAGTATATGAAGAAGCTTCTGAAGAAGTATAAGAAGATCTTCTGAATAGATTCTTTATCAGAATTGCTGCTGAAATGAGGATTTGTACATGAGATTGACACAGAGAATATAAAACCAGTCAACTGAAATGTGTACTCTCTGTTATAAATGCATCTTGAAGAACAGAAGTGTTAGATTACAGATCTTCTAGAATATGGTCTTATATGACTCTCATCAAGTGTGTAAGGCTTTCCAGTTCTATTCATGAAAAAGATGAGTGAGGAGTAGTGAATGTGTATCAATTATCAAGCACTCAACAAGCTTATGATCAAGAATGAATATTCACTGTCATGAATTCGACAACAGTTGAATACAGTTGAAAATGCCTGATATCTATTGAAGATTGATCTTCTCTCAGAATACTGATAGATATGTATGAATGAACTGTCAGTTCTGTGAACCATGTTTAATATATAATAAGTGAAGTTTGAATTCCTGACAATGTCATTTGATCTGATAAATGCACTTATTATCTTTCAAATAATGATGAATATGATTCTTTATAAACAGAATGAAATCTCATGTCTTATATATCTTGATAACATTCTAGTCTTTTCAAACTTATATAATAAATATCTGAAGCATCTTAATGAAGTGCTTATAACTCTGACAGAGCATAAGCTCTATATCAAATTAACAAAGTATGTGTTTGAAATGAAAGAGTTAAAGTTCATAGAACATGTAGTAAGTAATGACTGTATATATCTTATTTCAGAGAAATTGAATGTTATAGTGAATTAACTGTGACTGAGAAATATATATTATATACAACAGTTTCTTAAGTTAATCTTATATTACTGCAGATTTATCAGGGATTTTATATAAGTATCTGTATCACTCTCAGATCTCTTAGGACAAATGAATAATCTGTGAAAGAAGAAGTTTCATTCAATCATCTGAAATGCTGTGTGCAAAGAGACTTTTCTCACACTGAGAAAATGTATAATAATATTCTCAGTGCTTATTCAATCAGATTATAATAAATCTTTCTATATTAAGACAGATGCATCTGAATGAGCTATCAGAGATACTCTTCTACAGATCAGCAAGAACAGTAAGCTGCACTCAGTGATATATAATGATAGAAAACTATCAAGTGCTGAGCTCAATTACTCAGTGTATGAAAAGGAATTGCTAGTGATTAAGCATGTGCTGATGTTATGAAATAGATATATCAATAATAAGCATATAACAACAGTGATTACAGATCATGAAAGTCTTATCTATCTATAATTAATAATAAAACCTTTTAAATGCTTAGTATATTGAATCTCAGAGTTTGAAGTATATAATCTTCATATCAAATACTGAAAGAAATCAGATACTGTGATATCTGATGCAATCAGTTGCAGATCTGATTTCATGAATAAGAATTCTGTGAACTAGATATAAGAGAAGTGTGTATTAAACACACTGAGAGAGTGCAAGGAATCAGAATGAGTGAATATAATAATCTCTCACTTGAAGAATAGCAAGATGTTGAATAATAAGTGTCTTATAAAAGTAGTAGAAGAGATGCTTCTGAACTTCAAGCTGAGAAAATTGAAAAATGATGTTATGTTTTACTGTGATCTAGAATATGCAGAAGCTCTCTATCTAGAATATTTATTTAGATACAACTTAATGACTTACATTCACAAGGAATTCAGTCACTTAAAAAGTTCTACACTTATAAATATACTTGAATCAAGAGTATACTGATCAAGCATGGCCAAGAACATTCAGATATACACTTATAAGTGTCTGAATTGACAGATTGCAAAAGAATCTAAGAAAGGATTAGAATATGAGAAAGCACAATATCAGATAAAGTGTATAATACCTCTGTTCAAACAATGAGAGATGAATCTCATAGACATATTATTATAAACATTAAATGAAAATTGATGAATAATCACTGCTATTGATTACACTACTGACTGGCCAGTCATGAAAGCAGTTGCAGAGGTGATAGAGAAGATGATAGTGAAGTTTCTATATGATAAGATCTATATCAACTATGAAATGCTGTATAATATTCTAACTGATAATAGTGCAAATCTTATAGAAGAAGTAGTGAGGCATTTCATAAGTCAGTTACAGACAAGATATCATAGAACAATGCCATATTATTCATGAATGAATGAGAAGATAAAATGCTTGAATGAAATCTTGAGCAACATGCTGATGAAATATCTAGTGAGTAAGTCTATGAGACTATGAGATGAATATCTTGAGCAGGCACTATTAGTCACATGAATTCAATAGCATACAGTCTTCAAGTGTTCATTATTCTACCTGTTGTATGAATTGCATTCATGCATTTCAGAGAATGCTTTGAAAAAGGTGAGGAAGGAAACGGCAGTTGTGAATACAACAGTTGTGGGTACAACAGTAGTGAATGTAGCAGAAACAGCAGTTGTGAATGCAGCAGTCACAGAAATGGAACCAAGATTGAAGAAGATCAGCCATGCATGCATAAAAGCTAATGAGTTACTTCTGAACTGAGCAATTCAATTGAAAAGAATACAAGGCTCACTAGTTAAGAAATTGAGTCTCAAGATGAGAATGTAAGTTCTCATACATAATGAGAGTTCTGAGAAGTTCCAATCTAGATGATTTAAGTCATATAAAATACTCAAATCACATTCTCTGAGAATATATGCATTGAAAGAATCAGAGAGACAGATCTTACACAACTTAATAAATAATTCACATCTTATAAAAGTAAAGATATAAGACTTAAGTGAATTATAATCATCTACAGCACTATCATCAGCATTAAAAAAGAAGAGACTTGTAATTGAAAAGTCTTATGAAGTAAGAGAAATCATAGATACTTATAAATCAGATACTCTCACTTATTCCAATCTTTTCACAATTATAAGAAAAGAATGAGCAGAAATGAAGAAATCAGATGAATATCATACTTTAATAAGTAATGAGACTGTAGCTGATTGTATAATAACACACTGCAGATAGCAAGTGTAACACAGCAAAGAACAGTCTCAAAGTAGCAGACTTATATATAAGTCAGATTACAGAAGAAAAAGAAATTCAGAGTTAAATTTAACTGTTTACATCAGTTCAATTGCAGAGATAATAGAGAATGAATCATCTGAAACATTCATAAATATGTGAGATCAAGTTATCTTGACTTCTGAGAATGCTCAGAGATTGAGTAAGATTAGTTTTAATAAGCTGTTTACTGTAGTGATCTGAGTGGGTGAAGAGAGACAGTATAATACATAAGATAGAATTACAAAAAGTGAAAGCTGCTGAACCTAGTCACTGAATACTATATTATATAGAGATTATGTAGAAGTAGTGACTAGCAGATAAAGAAAAAGTGTAAGAAAAGAAAAGGGATAATAAATTGATCACTAACTATAAGAGTTAGCTGTAAAAGATAAATATTATTATACACACTTCATTCATTTTTATACATCACATGTTTAATCTACTTCCAACATCATGTTATCTGAAAAATGTCAAAAATAAAGAAAATCTCAAAACTCAAGATCTGTAAGCAATTTAAGAGCTGCAAGCTGCTCTTATAATAATACTATATATATCTTCAATTTCTCTACTGCTCTGTGTACAATATTAATGTCATTTATCACAAGATTGACTGAAATGCCAATATAGAAATGTGTATATATATGTGTAGAAAAATTGAAGAAGAGCACAGAACCTGCAGAATCAGAAGTCAGAATAGAGAAGATAGAGATGAAAGAAATGAAAGAAGGAGAAGACATAGAACTGAATAAATGATAGTAGAAGTTATTCAGAACTGAATACTTACAACTCAGTATGTATATAACCTTCTCTGCAGAGAAGGAAGAGAAAGTGATAGAAGAAGCTTGAGAATAGAAGAGAGTAGTTTCAGCAGTGTTATCATCTTCAATTAAAATGATCTCTGACACTGAAGTAACTAAGAACTATTATTAGTGTATGAAACTGCAAAGACAGAGAAAATAATTACTGAATGAACATCTACTGATCTTAGAATTGTATGTGTAATTAGAACACACACAAGACTTCTCAGAAAGAGAGAGAGAAACATGAAGAAATACAGAAAGTAGAACACAGTGTGTGAACAGCTCATTCTCACAATGACATCTCAGACAAGACATATGAGCCTCATATCTATAAGTGTAAAAGTGTACAATATTCATGTTTCTGTTTCTGAAAACACAGATATCTTTTATCTGCATTACAAAGTTGAATGACAGATATTAGAGAATAGACTGATACAGATCTATTATTCTGAAGAAATTTATCAGAGTGAATATCTCTGTGATGTTGAACTTTACAGTTATAAAAAGTTCCTTGATATCTGTGAATATCATAACTTTATATATAATAAAACTCATAACAATTTCTTCTAAGAACAGAAAAATCAGTGTCAGAAAGAAAAGATGAAAAAGAAAAAGACTTATAATCTTAATACTGTTAAGAGAGAGAGTGATTCTCTGATATAAGTGAACAATTGTCTTATCATGAATATTTAAAATGAATGTAATAATCAGTGTTTATAACTGAGCTTCAGATAGTCATATCATACACAGTCTTTGTACAATAAATTGTTCTAGAGATCAGTAAGAAGAGTGAAAGTATATATACTGAAAAATGTGATTCATTAAGTCTATACAATATCTTCTTGAAATGAGAAGAGCTGATAATAAAAGTAGAGACAGCAGAACCAGAAGAAGCAGAGATAGCAGAAGTGAGAGAATCAGACTCAGAGACAGAGATAGCAGAAGCAGAAGAACCAGACATCAGAGCAGGTGTAGAAGATTGAGAGAGAGTGACAGAGAAAGAAACAGAGAGAGCAGAGAGAGACACAGAAGACTCAGTCATACATAATATAGATAATTTCTTCATTATCATATTCTTCAAGTTCTCAATCAATGATTTAATATTGAGTTCACTATCATTGATGAATGCAGATCTGTCAATGTGTGAAGATTCTATATAAATAAAAATAAATATATCAGCATCTGTGTTCATGTAAAATTATGTCAGAAAACATGATCAGAAGTCTACTGAGAGAAAAAAAAATAATTGAGAGTGTATAAGAAGATGAAGAAGATGTGTCATTCATAGTAATACATTCTGATAATTGTTAGAAGATAAACAAGTTCTGGTTATATTTCACAATGCATTATACTTACTACTAATAAACTGTCTGATATGAGTACTATAATAATACTTGTTATGAGAATGAGAGGTCATTGCCAGAAATGTGTACAATGTAATAGATGAACAGATAGAAAGAGTTGAATAGAAGAAGAAGTAGAAATCTTGAATGAGATGATAATGTTTGTAATAACAATGATGATGAAGATAATTGAAGAATGAGAAAAGTTAGTGAATGACAAATATAATATAGTAAAAGTTTCTTGATGAGAGTGTATACAGAACACTAGCTAAATCAGAAATAGATCACATAATTGTGAAAACTAGTGGCACACTAATCTGCATGAAGCTAGGATGTATGACATGATCACATGAGTGTGACTGAATCTGGTAGGGGAGAATGTGGTTTGAAAGAACATACAACCACTGGATAATAACACAGCCACTTCTGAACTTGCTTACAAATGTAAAGGGGCCATAGCGGCCACCAATTAATTTAGTGTACAGTATATAAGATGCCGGCGTACGCCTGTAATCGTACACTGGCTCAAGCAACCTTTGAATCACACAAAGTTATGATATTCACAGATACTAAGAAACTTTTCACAATTATTAAATTTAATATTGCAGATATATCTGCTCTCATAAATTTCTTTGAAATAATAGATTCATATCAGTCTATTCTCTGATATCTGTCATCTGACTTCATGATACAGACAAAAGATATTCATGTTTTCAGAAATAGAAATATGAATGTTATACTCTTTTACACCTGCAGACATGAGACTTATATGCCTTATCTGAGATATCATTGTGAGAACAGACTGTTCAAATGCTGTATTCTGCTTTCTACATTTCTCTCTGTCTCTCTCTCTCTTTCTGAGAAGCCTTGTACATATTGTAATTATATGTACAACTATAAGATCAGCAGATGTTCATTTGATAACTGTTCTCATCTCTGATTTTGTGATTTTCATATACTAACAATGATTCTTAGTTGCTTCAGTGTCAGAGATTATTTTAATCAATAATGACAATGTCACTGAGACTATTCTCTTCTACTCTTAAGCTTCTTTCAGTACTTTCTCTTCCTTCTCTGCAGGGAAGGTTGTGCACACATCAGATTATAAGCATTTAGTCTCAGATAATTCTCATTATCATTTATTCAGTTCTGCATCTTCTTTCTCTTTCATTTCTTTCATCTTTATTCTCTCTGCTCTGACTTCTGATTCTGTGAGTTTCACACTCTTCTTCAATTTTTCTACATGCATGTGTACACATTTCTAGACTGGCCGCTGGGACCATGAATTTCACGTTTAGTCTCATTTGGTCTGATCCTATACATTTCTTGGCGTGAATCCCGCTGGGACTGGCTATCAAAAAAACATGTAAAGTGACTATATATCAGATCTTAAAATAGAACCATGACTTGAAAAAAATGAGAAAGTGATCTCATTTGGTCTCATTTAGTTCCATTCTTGGCATAAAGTTACTATTTTTAGACATTTTAAGGTTTTTTTTAGACTATTTTTAATTTTTTAAAAAGTAACACTTTTTGGTAATGCTCAAATGAGATTTAAAGTCATTTAAAGCAATAAAAATAATTTAAATTGAGAAGTGAAAATCATGGTCTCATTTGAAAAATGTGACAAGAGTAGACAGTAAGTCTCACTGAGACAGTATGAAACTACTATCTAATGTTAAAACTGTGTAATGGGATCAGTCGAATTGGTAATGAGACTATTAAAAAATCTGGTCCTGGTTCCAGACACGGTCACACGGTCAGTCTACACATTTCTATATTGATATTCCAGTCAATCTTGTAATGAACAATATTAATGTTATACATAGAGTAGTAGAGGAATCAGAGACATGCACAGCATTGTTGCAAGACCAGCTTGCAGCTCTTAAATCTCTTACAGATCTTGAGTTTTGAGATTTCCTTATTTTTGACATTTTTCAGGTGACATGGTGTTGAAAATAGATTAAACATGTGATGTATGAAAATGAATAAGATATGTATGATAACATTTGTCCTTTTTATAGTCAATTCTTACAGTTGATAATCAATTCATTATCTCTTGAGTCATTCTCTTTTCTTTTCTTATGTTTTTTCTTTGTCTGCTAGTCACTACTCTTATATGATCTCTATATAATACAGCATTCAGTGACTAGGTTCAGCAGCTTTTATCTTGTGATTCTGTCTCATGTATTATACTGTCTCTCTTCACTCACTCAGATCAGTACAGTGAACAGGTTCTTGAAACTAATCTCATCTGATCTCTGAGCATCTTCTGAAATTGAGATGACTTGGTCTCATGTGTCTGCAGATGTTTCAGATACTTCATTCTCTGTTGTCTCTGTGATTAAACTGATGTAGACAGTTAAATTCAACTCTGAATTTCTTTTTCTTCTGCAATCTGACTCATGTATAAGTCTGTCACTCTGAGACTGCTCTTTACTGCATTGCATCTGCTGTCTGTAGTGTGTTATTATACAACTGACTACAGTCTCATTACTTATTGAAGTGTGATATTTATCTGATTTCTTCATTTCTTCTTATTCTTTTCTTATAATCATGAAAAGATTGAAATAAGTGAGATTATCTAATTTGTAAGCATCTATAATTTCTCTTACTTTATGAGACTTTTCAATTATAAGTCTCTTCTTTTTCAACACTGATGATAGTGCTGTGAATAATCATAATTTACTCAGATCTTGTACCTTTGTCTTCACAAGGTATGAATCATTTATTAAGTTATATAAGATCTGTCTCTCTGGTTCTTTCAATGTGTATGTTCTCAGAGAATGTAATTTGAGTATTTTATATAACTCAAATCATCTAGATTGAAACTTCTCAGAACTCTTATTATATATAAGAACTCAAGTTCTTATCTTGAGACTTGATTTCTTAACTAGTGAGTCTCATATTCTTTTCAATTGAATTGCTCAGTTCAGGAGTAACTTGTTAGCTTTTGCATGTGTGTGACTGATCTCTTTCAATCTTGATTCCATGTCTGTCACTTCTGTGTCCGCAACTGTTGCATCTGCAACTGTTATTCCTGCTGTGTCTGCAACTGCTGTTCTCTTTCTCACCTTTTTCAAAGCATTCTCCAGAATGTGTGAATGCAATTCATACAACAGGTAGAATGATGAACACTTGAAGACTGCATGCTGCTGAATTTGTGTGACTAATAGCATCTGACAGAGATATTCATCTCATAATCTCATAGACTTGCGCACTAGATATTTTATCAGCATGTTGCTCAGAATTTCATTTCAGTGTTTCATCTTTCTGTTCATCTGTGAATAATATGATGTTGTTCTACAATGTCTTGTCTGTAACTGATCTATGAAATGCCTCACTGCTTCTTCTATGAGATTCACATCATTATCAGTTAGAATCTCATGTGATATTCTATAGTTGATATAGATCTCATCATGTAGAAACTTCATCATCATTTCCTCTATTACCTCTGAAACTGCTTTCACAACTGGCCAGTCAGTAGTGTAGTCAATAGCAGTGATTATTCAATAATTTCCATTTGATGTTCATGACAATATATCTATGAGGTCCACTCTTCGTCATTTGAACAGTTATATCATACATTCCACCTGATATTGCACTTTCTTAGATTCTTTTGTGACCTGGCAATTCCAGTACTTGTGAGCATACACCTGGATGTTCTCAGCCATGCTTGGCCAGTATACTCTTGATTTGAGTACACTTATGAGTTCAGGGCTTTCTAAGTGACTGAATTCCTTGTGCATGTGAGTCATTAAGTCATGTCTAAATAAATGTTTCAGATAGAGAGCTTCTGCATATTCTAGATTATAATAAAGTATAACATCATTTTTCAATTTCTTCAGCTTGAAGTTTGAAAGCATCTCTTCTATCACTTTTACAAGATGCTTGTTATCTGATACTTTGTCATTTCTTAAGCAAGAGATCATTGTATTCACTCAGTCTGATTTCTTACATTCTCTCAGTGTGTTTAATATGAACTTCTCTTATGTCTAGTTCACTGAACTCTTACTCATGAAATCAGGTCTGTGACTGATTACATCAGATATCACAGCATTCAATCTCTTTCAGTATTTAATATAAAGATTGTACACTTAAAACTCTGAGATTCAACATGCTAAGCATTTGAAAGCTTTTATTGTTAATTATAGATAGATGAGACTTTTATAATCTGTTATTATCATTGTCATATGCCTGTTGTCAATATATCTATCTCATAATGTCAGCATGTTCTTGATCACTAGCAATTTCTTTTCATGCACTGAGTAATTGAGCTCAGTATCTGATAGTTTTCTATCATCATACATTATCAGATGCAGCTTGCTGTTCTTACTCATCTGCAGAAGAGCATCTCTGATAGCTTATTCAGATGTATTCATCTCAATATAAAAAGATTTATTGCAATCTGATTAAATAAGCACTGAAGATATTATCACACATTCTCTTAGTATGAGAAAGATCTCTTCACACACAGTATTTCAGATGATTGAATAAAACTTCTTCTTTCACAGATTTGTATCTGTTTCTCTTAAGAGATCTGAGAGTGATGCAGATATTTGTATAAAATTCTTGATGCATCTGCAGTAATATAAGACTAATTCAAGAAACTGTCATACATGATATACATTTCTCAGCTGTGATCAATTCACTATAACATTCAATTTCCTCAGAATGAGGTATATACAGTCATCACTTACTACATATTCTACAAACTTTAACTCTTCTATTTCAAACACACACTTTATTGAGTTGATGTAGAGCTTATACTCTGTCAGAGTTGTAAGCACTTTATCAAGATACTTCAGA